TCAGAGTGAGGTAATTTCTACCTACTGAGGCAGTTTCCCCAAATCTAAAGTCACTTATTTAATGTAGTCAAATTTGTAAAACACTATGAGACTGCAGAGCAAAGTGTTGTATAAAATCCAAGATGATATTATTATAAATGTATATAAACAAGAACCCTCAACTACTACTATTCAAAGGGATCTTGCAGTCTATCATTGAGAATGCTAAAACTAATCATTTGTCTTTAATTGAAAACTCCAGTAGTATTTGACTCTTTAATTATTTATTTCCCAAGTGCTTTAATATAACAGTCAATTGCTATCAAAGTTCTTTTAGTATTAATAATTTCATTAAGAAATTCCCTTAACACCTCAGAAACATGTCACTTAGAGCTACTTATGTCTGTTCCTTTTTTCCACTTTCCAAATCCTTGTCATTATCTGTAGTTACATGACCACAGTTTTTGTAGCTTCTTCCAGCCTCCAGTGCAGACCATACCAGTAGAAATCTTCAGATTAGAGTGGGAGAAAACATGTTCCAGGAAGTTTCCTGCCCACCCTACATCATCCAACCCCCACCCCTCTGATAGCCATGAAGGACTGTAAAGAGACTGTAGGTAAATTCTAGCTCTGCTGCTGGTTCACTTTTCCTAATTATAGCCACGTCCTTAATAAGAGACATTACTAAAGCAAGTAAGAAGAAAAATATTCTGAAATGTAATACAATAAATTATGATCTGGGACATAAATTACTAATGGTTCTCATTATTATTTCTAAATCTCTGCTCTGAATCCTTTTAAGTAGAATAATTCAAGGGACAAAACTATTAGTTTAGCTGCTGAGATAAACTTATTCCTAACAGAAAAACAGGCCATTGGCTTGTCATGTATAAGGGCTGCTTAGGGAATAAAGATTTATTACATAGAAATAAGGTCACTTTGAAATATGCTTTCAAATTTAGATTTTCCCAAGGCTTCCAAATCTAAAAAAAAGACAAGGTGGTGGGAAGTTTGTAGCAGCCTTTTAAAGGGGATACTCAATGGAATTAGAGTAAGCTATTCTGAGGCATTGGCCTATAGTCAATAGATACCTGAAACCTGACTCAGCTTGTACTTCCCTTTAGATTAGGGATTCTTTCTGGGTCTATGCATAAGATTGTGGAAGTTAGGGAAGCCTCTGAAATTCGAAGCCAAATAACACACACAGTACATATAACACACAAATAACATACACATTTTGTCTGGTGAAAGGTTTCACGGCTTTCATCAAATTCTCAGAGGCCTCTTGCCTAAGAAAATTTAAGAGAAATACTGCACTTGCTGGAGCTTTTATAATAAAGAATTCACTGTACAATGACATTCTGCATTCCCTTATCTCTTAGGTTATTGTACAGTCTCCTTTAGTGATTAGAGGATTATTAGATAAAACGGAATTTCATATGACTCATGTATTACTGGGGGGTTGCTGCTTATTAAAAAATCTGTACATTGCTATAATTGCTATCTCTGGACCCAAGATGTCAGAAATCTTTAAAATAAATTTTTTATTATAACAAATTATTATGCACAAAATATTATTATAAGAAAATATTATGCACAAAAGTACATAAATCAAAGGTCTACATTTTGTCAATTATTTTTTAAATCTAGGGATTTAAACTGTTAATGAGAAGTGATATAGTTAGCTAGAAACCAAGATATCACAAGAAGGTAAGATCATAAATGAGACCCACAAACTAGGGGCATGGATGTATTTACAGGTTTGCCCCTTCAGTATCTTTTAATGACACCCAAGCTGTTTATTATGGGGTGTAAATACATCCTTACAGTGATAGAAGGGTAAAGAGTAAACCTGCAAAAGACTCAGATATTCTAGTATATAAAATAGGTTAAAGTACATGCAAACCTTTGTCCAAATTGATTTGCGTTTGAGGATTGGGGCCCATAAACATGGCAGACAATACTGAGTCAATTAAGTTTTTAAAATATCTATAAGACAGACTAGTTTCTGTCTTCATTGGACACATAGTCCATCCATCATTTTAACTACCACTACACTATGTACAAGAACCTCAGATTATTATTATTAATCATTTCCTTAATAGTAAAATTTTTAGTTTATGTTGTTTTCCCTTTTAAAACTATTTTTTCTTTAATGACTATAAAGTGATGTCTTATATCCTGCCCATACCTAAACTGTATGTGAAAATTTAACCATATAAATTGTTTAAAACAATTCCTTAAAATACACCTACCTTTCCCTTCACATTTCTATTGCATTATTATATCAAGGACCAAGTCTCAATTAACCACTATCTGACCTTTGTTCACTTTCTTCCCTCCCCTCCCCCTGCCAAAGTTTGCCCTTCCTGCCAAAGTTCAGCACTTCCTAGAAAAGTCTCACTGCCTGTTTGATATTGTACTTCACTTTAGTCACCAAAGGAAGAATTTACAGGTGCTTGGCCCCATCTATAAGACCATGACCGAAATCTGACCTCCTGTTACAATACGTGAACTCCTGCCCTGCTGATAAGGCTGGCAGATATAAGTAGGATTTTTCAAATAATCCTTTGGGAATTTATAAGCAGCACAGCCATAAAAGGGGGGTGAATGGAAGGTCGGTTTCACTAAAAATAATAAATATTGCCATGTTTATTCAAAGTGTGCCTTGTTATCCTCCAGGCCAAAAGTTCAGATAAACACTATTGTAAATGACAAAATATTAGAACTTTTTGTTACTTATGTTATGATCCTTCCGTTGGATACCAATAGAACTGTTTTCCCTTGTATAAGTCCTAGCCTTGATATTGTATAACACTGCCTGAGACTAGAAAACTGGATTCATTTGCAGGTCTAAAGGAGGGTAGTTATCTTTCAAAATCAAAAACATTTATTGAACAGTATATACTAATACTAAGCGCTAAGGGTTGGGGCTTAAAAAAAAAAAAAAAAAAAAAAACAAATATGATACCTGCCCTAAAAGAGCTTACAATCTATTGAGGAAAAAGAAAACATTTAGCATATCATGATATAATACAGTAAGCACTAATATAAATATGCACTGGATCCCATAATACTATGAAAAAGTGGGTCCACTGAGCTCAACCTGAAACATAAGGAAAATATGCTGCAAGACACAAGTATAAGATAAATAAGAAAATAAAAATAAATGGAAGTAAATTAAAAAGTAAAGTAAAATAAAAAGAAACGGAAGTAGTAATTCAGGCAGAAGGACTGGAAAGGATAGGATAAGGAAAGGATAAGAGGCAAGGTACATTCAAAGAATTGGAAGCATTTTAGCATCATCAAAGCAAGGTGGTAAGTAGCAGGTAATATGGATGGCAGATTATGGAAGACTTTCTATACTTCTATTTACTATATTTTCTTCTATATTTCTATATTTTACAGGTGATCAATTGGAGAATTTTAAGCAGATAACATATGTCAGATTTGTGTATTAGATAGATTACTATGACCATAGTGAGAATTGAGTTAAGACTTTAAGATATATGGTAGATAGAACAATGAAGGAGAATGTTTTCAATAATTCTGAGGAGAATCTAAACTAGGGCAATAATTTTAGGATAAGGAAGAAGAGATAGAGTAAAACTATAATTAGGAGATAACATTTAAAAGATTTGGAGATCTGGATATGGTATTGAGAAAAAAAGCAAGAATTTTAGATTTCTGGCTCATGTCTAGATAAGTGATATTGTTATTACCTGGGATCACTGGAAATTCAGATGTGGGGGCAAGAGATAATGAGTTCATTTTGAAACATACAGCGTTTGTGCTGCCTGTGTAATTTCCAAAAGGTTAGATTCAGTAGACAATTATATACACAAGTTTGAAGCTTAGGGGAAAGCAGAGGAGTGAAGACATAAATTTGGAAGTCATTAGAATTTCAAATCATGACAGTAGATTATATCATTCGAGAAAGGTAGGAGACAAAGAGAAGTGGGACATGGGTAGAACCCTGGGAACAATGAGGGACACTAAGAAGAAGCAAAGCTTACAAAGATTAAAATAGGCAATAACTATCAAAAAGGCTAGTAAAGAAGAAGAAAAACATATTGTAACAGAAGACAAAGAGGTCAAGAGTTATAAAGCAAAAATGATCAACAAAGTCAAAGTCAAAAGGTCCAGTAAGATACAGAGTTATTGTTTGGAAATAGAATCTTTGGGGAAAAAAAGATACAGATTCAGAGTAGTCATATAAACAGAAGATGAGAGAATGAAGAGTGAAGAAGTAGATAACAAGTATTCAAATGGAAAGGAATGAAAGAGCTATGGTTTATTTTCTCCACAGTCTCCATTGTCTGGATTAAGTGACACTATCTTAAATATATGAAGAACGAAAATGGGAACAGAGTGGACAATAAGACACACTTGAATATATTAAAAACAACCTGATATAAGCTTAACAGAACTTGCTATAAAAATATCACTAATGGGCTTCTCTAACCAATTTATGTTTGTTGATACTAGAGTTTAATATTTTATTCACTTTGTGTATATCTGTGTGTCTTCATGTGGGTATACTACCAAGATGGAGAAAGGAGCCCTTTTTTGGAATATAATTAATACCCACAATATTCCCCACCCCCCAGCGAGGTTCTTTTTTCCATATGCTTTATACGACAAAAGGAATAATAGTCATCAGATATTGAAAATATGAACATTTTCACAAATACTATTTTAATGTGTAATATGGGCTGTTGTTATTTAAATAAGTACATTATTAAATTAAAAATAGAAATCTGAACATGTGAGTATTTCTAGTTATAAGTTAATTTGTTGACAACTGATAGAAATGTCACTAACTATAGCACATTACACAACAGACATAAACAAAAGATTCAAGAAGCAAGAAAAATATACTATTATTTATAAATAATACTGCCTAAAAAAATAGTTTCTCATTCCACACTCTTAAAAATACATAAAAACTACCAAAAATGAGAAAGCAGAATTTTGAATTTAATATATATCTCATTAGTCAGAGCCAGATAAAAACTCACCAGCACAGAATATATGTGTAGACATCGATAAACAGGAGAGAAATCCACCAAATCTTGGGCCCCAGGTACCTGCAAATATAAGATTATCACAAAAAAATTCAAAGAAAGCTATTAAGAGCAACAACATTCACTTTTACTACTTGAGCGTTTGGTTTTTCTAAAAGTTCTAGCTTCAAAGTTAGAGATACAAAACAAACAAACAAACAAAAAACATATGCTCCAAAAGATCTAGTTCTGGTATTTTAGCCATGGGATTAATAAACTGTAAAGATATACCATCAAGGCTGTGACAAAGCCCACGAGCATCGATAGGAGAGAAGAGAAACAGGTGGCACTAATCCTGTATCTGCCTTTACGGGTACATCCTGAGCCATGAGACTCTATAGGGAAAATAAGAATGTAGGAATATGACTTTGATAACTTGACTTTGTCTTCTAAGATACATGTTAGTTTACATATAAAACTAAGTTTCAGTAGTTAAAACCAAAACTTGGCATACAAGATAAATTAAATGGCTTGCCATCTAACTTCTGAAGGGCACACAAATTAGCACACAATCAGAATACAGAAATATGCTGAGAAAAGAGGAGAAATTACGTGAAAAATAAGATGATGAATGGAAAAGCCAAACCCACAAGTAATCATAATAGATTATAACATGAATAATGCATGTCAATTAAACCTAGACATCAAAAGAGAAAGAAAAAATATCAAGTAAGAGCTAGAATCTAGTCTAGTCTCAGTGCTAAAACTGATTTGCTATGCAACCTGACAATGAGTAAGTCACAATTTACTTTGGCCTCAATTTCCTCAATTTAAAAAAGGAAACTATCAATTGACTTATAGGGATTTAACAAGAATAAAAGGAGATAATGAAGGTAAATGTTGAACAAAACAAAATTAAACAACAGGAAAGGGGAAAAAAATTACATAAGGAATTAAACCTCATTTCTTCTTGGGGGGGTAGCATCTTCACCAAGATGCTTTTCTTTAATGAAATCTACTCATTCTGCAATCCAAAAGCACAAGGCCCACTTTCCTTTCCCTCTGATACCATCACACCTCTTTATTGGTTCAAATTTATTGGCTGTTCTGTTCATCTGCTCCACATTCATGGGGGCAAAAATTAAATCTCTATATGTAAGTACCTCATAGTGCTATATAGTGTATAAGCATGCACAACAAACTTTTAAGTGAATCTAAAGACTGATGGTAAGGTACTCAAGCTCCCACACCAAGGCTCAAGGACAATTTCACTTTAAAAAAAAGACTTTAGCATTAATGAGCATTGCAAATTACTGAGAAAAGCATTTTATGTACAGATGGGCACTAAGCAGTTAAAAAAAAAGTAGGATTAAAAATCATGTAAAAATTATAATTGTAACTGTACAAGTAGACACTCATTTTCATCCTAACACAAAAAGAGTCAACATATGATCACTTTAGGAATTCTTATTTGAAATGACAACATTAAAACATCTTTATAGTCTCCCTTTTTTGATTGCAAAGTAGAGATTTGAAGGAGACTTATTTTATCTTGATAGAAAAACAGAACCTGTTTCATTTTGCCAAACACCAGGACATTTCTTTTATCTTGCCAGAAAACCAGAGCCTACAACTAAGCAAAATATAATCTCAAAAGAAGAAAAATAGAAAAACATCAAAAAATTATATTCACCATAGTATTTACATTACATAAAAACTACACATCCATTTGAAAAAAAGACAAGAAGAAAACATGTTAGAAAAGTTTGATCTGTATGGGAAATGAAATTATTTCCTTTCTTTAGAATAAATAATTATAGTTATTTATTAAAAATATATATTTACAAAAAGTTTTAAACATTTTGCTTACCTAACATTGAATAGCAAATCCAATCATAACTTTATGTGTTGTTCTTCATAGAGTGTATTTATTTTGTCTTATTTTGTCTCAGAAGCATGGCTTCGGTCAAAAGGAAACTGCCTGTGGTCAATTCCTCAGGCAGAGCCTTGGCTCTTCCACATATCAGACCCATCCTTATAGAATGAACATCCACATTAAGGGGCAGTTTCCATAGAACTCTGTGATGAATAAGCTAACAGGACCCCCTAACAATGATATTTGGTTACCAATCCGCTAAGACTGGTTTGTCTGGACAGACTACTAGAAAATAGATATATTTAGAGAGGAGATAAAGGCCTTTTTCTGTCATCTCCAACAAATATGTACAACCAAACCTATTCTCTATGAAGCTGTTATGACATCATTAACTCAGTTTCAAACTGTTCAAAGTGCCCTGATCTATAAGTATTGGCTCTACTATTTCTTAGCTCTGGAACCATCATCTAGTTAAGTCTTCCTAAGCACAAGACTGCCTGCTTTGAAAGCAGCACACAGAAACCTAGGGAAAAAAATAAAAGAGCAAAACGGGGCTTCAGTCCACAATCTTTACCTCTACCCCCAAAATAGCCTAATGTTTAGAAGTCATTTTTCCTCTATGCTCCCCTCTGTGAGGAACACTAGGAATGAACACTGTGAGGAACCCAGAAGAGCGCTGTGAGGATAAAGGTATGTAAAGTATGCACTGACTCATGTTGCTTTGAGCTAGATGTGTTTTCTCTGCTTCCACTAATGAAAAAGAATCACTTACAACTACGGAAAGGCAAAAGGAGAAGAGCAACATACACGGGACGTGAAAGAATGCTACATGTTTAAAAGAATAAGAAATGAGCTTTCAAAACTCTAAACAAACGGGGTGAGGAAGAATACGAGAACAAAAGATAGATTTTCCTGACTCACAGAAATAGGTCTGGTTTAACGTCCACATTTTGCTCTCCATTTAAAATGCTAACTTTGTGTCAAAGTGGCCTTCATACTTCTTCCCCTCCTTTGCTCCTCCCTCCCCTCAAGTTGCAAAGAATGATTCAAGCAGGTTTAGGTTTCAGCTGGGACAGAGGGAGGGGTCCAAGGACACTTTCCTAAGCTAACAATGACTGTCTCTAATGGTTTCTGTCTCCTAACAAAAGCCATGACTCCTTCTTTATCAGCTTCATCTAATTTTTCCTTTCCAAAGTAAATAACACAGCCCTTGCATTTTACACATGTCTAAATTTGACAAATCATTATCGACTGGGACTGTAACTGATAAGAGATAACTTTGTGGTAGGACGCTGTCATTTCCTCTCATAAGGGCTTTCTTTCTGAGATACAGAAACATGATTAGAATAGTTAAACATTTCCTTTGCCTGGCAGTCAAGAACTTAAGACCTTAAGATATAATACCACACAGTCTGTATTTTTCTAGAAGTTCACATAGATCTATGAAAATCCCAACAGTAGCCACTAACAGTATATTCAAGATTATCCTGCTTTTTTAACTAATTGTTTTCCTTAAGAATTCAAGTGAAATAATTTCATCACCAAGGACAGCAGCTACCTAATTCCCTGTATAGTTTCTGAATGGAACACATTAGTGTATTTTGCCAGCTCAAACCTCTTTATTTTCAGGAGGATCAAATAGTAAGTAATATTTAGATTCTATTAACTAAGATATCTGTGCTTCAGAGTATATTATAATATTATATAAATTCAGGGAACTATGATTTATTTTTAAATAGCAGATAAATAAAAAGCTATTAAAAGAATTTTGGGGTGATGACTGAACTTCAATAGCATGAAGGCAACTACTACAGTCTTCTATTCATGTACCCATTAGAGATCAGGTATCCGCTAGATACCAATACATATGCCTAATTTGTTTATTTCAATATAATAATTCTTATATTTGTATGATAAATACTAACAGCTTCACTCAAAGCAATACTTCCTAATTTTTTGTGAAATATTTGTTCTTAAATAGCATTTATGTCCTATAAATATACCAGCTATAACATGAAGCCACTATATAGATGACCAAAAAGAGTCTGGAGAGAGAGGACTTACCAATTAAGAAATGTAAATTTATAAATAGGATTAATGAAATGTCCTCTGAAAAACAGGCTTATGAGCCTCTACAGACAGTATTTGCTAGAGAAGATACAAAGAGTCAGAGTAGACATGGGCATATTAGATGGTCAGGAGGAAAAGAAATATGAACATTTCTAATTACAAAGATTCCTATAAAACATCAGGATCTGACTTTCATATTTTTTTCTTTTTCTCTAATACATTTTAGTTCACGTAAAAGGAAGTATCAACAAACAGAAAGGTAGATGGTTATGTTTTTCTCAAAAAAGCATAAGGAAAATTTTTTTACATATTAAAGAAAAAGGGAGATTTTGATTTTTAAAAAATAATGCCATTAAAGTTTGAACATATACATTCATTTACTATTTTTCTAAACCCTACCCTAAAAGAAGTAGTCAGAGTTAGTAGCTATTTCTACTATCTTAAAAGACTCATTAGTGAATGAAGCCAGGGAAAAAAATTATCTGTAGGTAACCTGATAAATTTACCCATTTTACTGCTGGGTAAGCACATCATTAGAAAAGGGGACTAGAGTAAAATAAAAGCTTGCTTGCCTCCCTCCACTCAAAAATAGTAGCAAATATACTATGAGAGAGTTACTTATGCTGCTGATATAGTACATGAAAACAAGTACATTAGTGTGTTCTAGCCTTATTGTTCACACATCTGTACCAGAAGATACAGACACACACACACACACTGTCTCTCATATACACATACCCACATGCACACACCATTTATTTTTCTCTTAAGAAGTCTTTCAGAGTACATGCATTATCCAAAAAGAGTATGATAGGAGTTTGCAAAGAATTTAGATATGTTTCTCACTAATCATCTGAGCCATTCTCCACCTTGAAACTATTTTTGATTACCACTTTACACAGGATCCTTTCTTGGTATTGGTAAATGAGTGAAGGGACTTGGTACCCATTTCTGAGCATTACTTGGCTCTCAAATCATTAAAATATATCAGGTATTTTTCTGCAGGGAGCAAACAACAAATGATTAGCTGAAAGGACATTGCCTCTGCATTCAGAAGTTCAATTGCAACTACCCATCTTAGGTCTAGAAGCCAGAAAATACATTTTTCACTAATGTGCTTTTTGAACTACTTTGTTTC